TTTTTAGCTGAGCCATCCTGCTACCTATTGGCAGCTTAGCGGCTGCTCAGCTCGGACTGGCCTCGAACCGCTGTTGCTCAGAGCTCAAACTCTTGAGCGAGCTCTTAACCAACTGAGCCATTCGGCCGGCCCCTAAGAGTTCCTTTTTCATATGTGGAATATAAAACAAAAAGTAACAAACAAACTAATGAAACAAACAAAAACAAACTCATAGATACAGACAACAGAATGGTGGTTACCAGAGGAAAAACCAGGTAGGAGAAGTGGGTAAAGAGCATCAAATATACGGCAATGGAAGGAAACTAGAATTTTATAATTAGACACAGATGTCAAATTATAATCTTAAACACCTGAAAATTATATAATGTGTTAACCAATATTACCCCAATAAATGTAATTAAAAATAAAGAGTACTGATTGGGAAAAAACTAAGCCAAAATATAACTTCAGCTTCAAGGATCACAAGTGATAAGCCTCCTTACGATGAAAAGGGTGTATGTAGCTTTCTTTGAACAAACGAGGCAGAAAAAGTATGAGTCTATGAAGTAGCTCTACTGAGCAAGACGCTTTAAATAGCAAAATTTTAAACCATAGTTGTCTCTATGTGTTCTTGATTTCCAGCATGATTATCAGGACTGTCATCTGTAAATATTCAAGAGAATTACCAACTCACCCCAGGTCAGAGTAGCCAGGGTCAGGAGCTCAGGGATGGAATCCTGACATACTACGTATTCTGGAGAGTATGGATCTGTTTGAACTTCAGCATCGCGATAATCAGTCTGAGTGCCCACAGTGTACTTTGAAAGGATGGGTGAGTACTTAGTAGAAGCAGGAGGAAAAACATATGGCTCCATCCTAAAAGAGAAAATTATTTTAAAAATTAAAACTTGATGCAATCCCTTAGAATACTATATAATCAAACAGAAATAAATTCTTGAGCTTCACTAAGTGCTTACTCCCTTTAAACACTGACAGGTACAATGTTATGAATCCAGTGTAACCAGGATTATGCCCAATCATCTTGAGAGAATTGCCTTGTCATTCTCATCTCTCCCAAGAAACAGAAGGGGTATAAAAACCTAGGTCTGCTCACAAAAGTGCCTACTTATCTGCGCATCCTTGGGCAGGGCTATAGTATAGAGCTATATAAAAGGTAGATTCTAGGATGTCATACAATTATTTCTGAATCTGTTTGGAATTGCTACTTCCCTGGCTTTTTTCTTCTCTGTTTGTTAGTTACACAGACAATTTTAGCTGTTTCCCTTCAGAATACAAATACAGGAGCAGGGAAAAGAGAAGAAAACCTCACCTCTTGCACAAATATTAATTCCAGATAATTTAAAGTATTTAATGTAAAAATGAGGCTATAAAAGTACTAACAGATAGCATAAGTAAATAAATCATCTTTGAGTGCAAGTCTTTTTTAAGCATGGCTCAAAAGCCAGAAACTATACAAGGAAATGATCGATAGAATTAAGTTTCAGTTGAAACTTCTATACCTCAAATTACAAAAACAAATTTAAAAAGTGAATGGTACACTTGGAAATAGGTTTCGCAATATATATGATAAAAAATTAAACAGCCTTGTTATATAAAAAAGCCCTTATAAAACAATAAGACAGTTAAATATCCACAGAAAACTGGATAAAAGACAATTCATAAAATAGAAAGTAAAACTTCTAAATAAAAATATGAAAAGATAATGACATAACTTGTAATCAAAGAAAAGTAAATTAAAACAGCAAGATGCTATTTTATTACATCACATAAGCAAAGATTTAAAAGATGGAAAGTACCTGGCATTGATGAAGTTGTAAAGAAACAGGCATTCTCATAAACTGTTGATGGAAATACAAACAGGTACAACCCAGCTAACAGGAAAATGATCAATATATATCAAACCCTTAAAATACCCTTTTGCCCCAGCAATTGTACTCCTAGGAATTTATTCTAGGAAATAATTGGACAAGTGTATGCAAACATGTTCATAAAGTCTCATTTATAAGAGTAAAAAATTACAAACGTAAATGATCATCATCAACAGAATTGTTTTAAAAAAAA